GTCATTTTAGAATGTAGACCTCTTCTAAAACAATTATTATTTATGTAACTGGTCCCTAGAATTTGGTCTAATATATACCACGTATAAATATTAGATACACAACCACTGGTTAGAATCCTAAACTTTTTCAGTTGGTGTTCATACTATCATCTTCAAATGTTGAATTCTACTCTGTCCCACACACAACTTTATAATTGGTCAGGTTCTTTCTCTTGCTGTGGTCTGGCTAGGTTTTTTTTGGGTATAATATAAGGATGACCTGTTGGTGGTGAGGCCTATTCGATTTAAAAACTTTTGGGTCGATCAGTTTTCTAAGTGCTGCCCATCACTGCAACCTTACATTTTTCGTTTCCAACCTAAAACTAAAATAGTAGTTTAATTTGGGCAAGAATTATAAGAGAGAAAATATTTTGTCCATAACTTGTGGTTTGGGTTTCCTCATTTATAAAACTTCATAATTCAGCTCCCAATTAGAGATTAATATCATTTATAAAACAGTTTATTTGTAGAAACCCTAAATTCTAAACCAAAAATCCTGCTTATACTATTCTAAATTCTACCATTAAGTTGACTTTAATAGTTTAGGGCTTAAGCTTAATAGTTAAACAGTTTGAACAACTGAAAGTAACCTTTTATTCATTTCTAGGACAAAGATATTAATACACTTCAAAAAAGAGGGTGAATAAATGAAAAGAAAAGAGAAATAAAAAAAGAAAAAATGATAAAAGAAGAAAGAGAACGTAAAAAATATGACGTAATGCAAAAAATAGAAAAAGAATAAGAAGAAAATTTGCTCAAGAATAAATTAGAAGAAAAAATGACTCTATATTTATATTTAGAGAAAAATATATTCTTTTCATCGAGATATTAATATTGTACCGACATTCTTTCTTATGTTTTTACCCTAACAAATTTGAGTGTACTCCATTTTTAATTTTTCGTTAGTTTTGTGAAACAAAAAATAATAATTTTTTTAACTGAAGAAATAAAAAATTATCATTAAAATATCATGTGTAATATTAAATATACTCCAATTCACTCGTGTTATAATATACAATCTTCTCTTTTAACAAATTTACAATGTTTTATTAGTTTTGAATTTTTCATTAGTTTTAATTCTCATATATGTATCTTCACTCATGTTAAAATATACAGTGTTCTCCTTCAACAAAATATAAATATATACTCCTTTTAATTAGTCCATAATTTTTTATTCGTTAATCTTTCACTTTTGTTTTATTTATTTATTTTTAACTTTTTACACATTTCAAATAATATTAATTATTTTTAAAAAAATATACTCCTATTTAGTAATTGTTGTTGAAATAAAAGATATGAAAGTCTTATATCTTCTAAAAAGGATTTAATTTGATGATAACAATTGTCATTAAAAAAATTCATTATAGGAGTTTTGGATAAAATAAAGTTTCAAGAAATGAATTTTATTACAAGAAAAATAACGACATTTTTGCTATAGAGGTTGTCTAGTGGAACAAGCATCTAGTAACGACTTTCATAATTTTTACTAGAAAAAAAATGTCATATAACATATATCTTATGGTAACATGATATTTATTATTAAAAAATTATTTTTACCTACACTATAAATATAATATATGTCAATATATTGTTAAAAAATATAGTTATAAACTATAATGACATACAATATATATTGTTAAATCTCATTAAAAATTAACACTAAAATTATGTGTAAAAAAGATTTATACTTACATATATTATATTTATACTAATATTTTTTATATGTCAATATACATAACATTCGTTATAGTGTTTCTTTTTTAATGTTTAAGTAAGTGCCCAGTCTTAATAATATGTTTTTCTTGAATGTCTTATTAAACTAACTTATACAGATTCTTTAAGAAAAAGAATAATAATATTTTTTTTGTTTTTGTTTTCATGCACATTTGATTTTGTCCTATCCTCTTTTGGGATAAGATAAGAAAGAATATTTTATATGCTAACTTCTCTTTGATCCTTTTTATAAGAAAAAAAGTTATATAGTGCGAATACAAAATTTTCTAGTATAACACACCTGCACATAACAATGAATACTAAATTCTCTATCCTCATGGTAATATGAGACAAAATTTGGACCTATTGTGCCTAATTGAGATGTGATAAAGAAAATAGTACAAAACACTTTGTCCTTTGAAATTGTCTCCCAACATGTCTTTTGGAGAAGCTATAAAAGATGACTTTGAGAAGGCAAGAAGTGTACATGAGAAAGAACAAGTAATAATTCTCTTCGAGCACATCAATGTTCTTGAAGAAAAAAAAATCTTAAAGTCATTCATGACTCAAAAGCACATTCTTGAATAGATCGTTAGTAGATGATCCTTGTACTCCTTATAACCTTAGTGTTAAGATGGAGCACTAGAGTGTTTGTAAAGCTTATAATATCCTTTCTCTATGAGTAAAACATTTGTAATACCTTTCAACTTTGTTTAGTGATAAGTTTGAAGAGGCTTGACCAAAAATACTTGAAAATTTCAAAATGTATTGTTGATAATACTTAATTGTACTATTGATTGAGTAGTGAATTTCTTTTGTGTAAGAAGGGACTGGATATAATTTTTAAGATGTAAAAGTGAAGCAATATAATTTCTTGACATGAATATCTCTTTCCATACTCTTTACATTTTAGAAAACACTTTATTTCCTTATCGTATAATACCTATCAATAACATGGTTGAAGAAAATGTTTTGAGGAATTTTTTTTTTATTTAAAAAACACACAATTCAACTCCTCTTCTTATTTGTCACTTTGGTTATTTCAATTGTTTTACACATATTTCATAACCACTATTGTTAAAGATATTAAATAAGGGTATTTTTCAATAAGATACTAATATTAGATATTTCTTAAATGGTATACAAAACTTTAAACATAAAATATTATGGTTTGAATGAAGTATTATAGATTTCTCTCTCTCTCTCTCTTTATATGTGTGTGTAGAGAGATTTACTTACTTTAAGAATAAGTTTTGATAAATTTATTCAACTCAATAATTTATGTTCTACATTGAATTTTAAAGATTCATTCGTTAAATTAAAAGTACTTAACATATAGATCAAACTTACAATTTTTTTAAAAGATATTGAAAATTATTTGATAGTTTATTTTATTAATTCAAATTGAAGAATAATCACAAAAATACTTTATACATTGATTTAAATATATATAACAAAGTATCATATGATTTTCAAGTTTTTAAAAAAATTATAAACTTGATATATACATATTAAGAACTTTTAATTTATTACTTGAATCATTTAAATTTGATACAGAAAATTTTGATATAGAACAATAAGTCTACTAAGATTACTTCAAGAGTAAGTTTTCTTAGACATACTGTACTCAATAATTCATATTTTATATTAAATTTTAATGATTTAATTGTTAAATTAAAAGTTTTTAATGCATAATTAAAGTTTACAAATTTTAAAAAATTTAAAACTATTTAATATTTCATTTTATTAATTTAAATTGCCAGACATTTTATAAGAGAGTTTCATATCATTTTATATGCATATTATTTTGTTGCATTTTACATTCTACAAAACTAAACAAGAATCATTTTTTCTCTTATTAAACAATTTAATAATTATCTTATATTCGACCTAAACCTAGGTTATTCCACGCAGCCCATTCCACGGAATAAAAGCAACTGCTACATGATTTGGGCCTGACCTCTTTGAAATGTTATTGCTCTGTACCCTGAACAAGGATTTTCTCCTGTACCCATCAAATTTTACCACACTTTTTATTTTATTAAACTTAAAAAAATGACGAGTGTTAGGATGCAAAAGGATAATAGGTGGTTTATAGTGGTGAAGTAACTAATATATATAGTTGGTATTATCAGATTTAATATATACCATCTATAAGGTTATAAGTCTAAATGCTTATAAAAAGTTTGTCTATTAAAAATAGAAAAATTCTGGATCAAACCGTCTTTATATTATTTCCAGAACTAGCGACTAGGGATCGATCCCTTCATCAGGACGACTGCTACCACAATGACGAGGCGATGTTGAGCAACAACCACCGGTGGGAAGAAAGACGTGCAGTCAGTGTGGGCAAAGTGATGCCGTCATATATATGTGTTTCGCATAATATGCTATAATTATCAACTTAATTAAATTAATATGAAGTAAATACTGTCTTATGCATATTATGAGACATAAAAATATTATTTTTTGTTTCGTTTGATCGTCTACGCTACCTTAAATATTCAAATAGAAATAAACTCAATATTACATAATAATATATTATTTTGTGGTCACAAATATTTTACATTTCACTTTATAGAAAGACCAAAGACATAATTCTAACATGTAGGAAAAATGAATCTTGTCTACATCACTTAAACTCCTCAACAAAATTTATTATAGTCTCAATAACTACCTTTATAGTTATTTTATTACAAATGATGATGATGATGATGATATATTTAAAACATACAACTCTTAAAAGTAGAAATCGTTACCATGAAAAACATATTCTTTAAAGAAAAAAGCTAATAATTAGAAAATAATTCGTATTATTAATGTTTTTAAAGATAATATTTTTCTTAAAACAGACATAAATTGTAAATTGCATTCTCGCATGTTGTTAAGGTGCTAGTTAAAAATATATAAATTGTATCCTTAATTTTTTATATTTGTTTTTATTTAAAAAAGGCCTAATCGAGATCCACGCGAGGATTTAGAAATAATCAACAGAAAATAATGAAAATAGAGAAGGGTAGCGTTTTTTAATAGTATAGGCTTGATTCGAGCTCCACGCGGAGAATTAAAAATAATCCGTGAGGAGAAGTTGATGATTAACAGAAGTCGAATCAAGTGGTAATTGATTAGACTTTTGGAATGGGATCTATATAGAATAAATTAATGAAAGGGCACGTGATTGTTCCCTGGAAACATGCAGTATATATATAAGTATAAGTGAAGGTGAAGTTGTAGTGATAGTAATCAAACATGGCCACACTCCACAAGGAAAGTGTTCAGCGATTTTTGGGCCTCACGAGGCTTCACATACTCTTCCACTTGGTGGCAGTGCTGTTCCTCTTTTACTACCGCATAACGCAACTCTTATCTAAACCAACCGTCGCATGTCTTCTCATGACCATAGCCGAGCTCCTTTTCACGGAGACCTGGTTCTTCAGCCAAGCCTTCCGGTGGCGCCGCCTGTCGCGGGAGGTCATGCCGGAGAACTTGCCAAGGGACCAAAAACTGCCGGGCCTTGACATCTTTGTGTGCACGCTTGACCCTAAAAAGGAGCCAACCGTGGAGGTGATGGACACGGTTGTTTCCGCCATGGCCATGGACTATCCCGCTGATAAGCTGGCCGTGTATCTTTCGGACGACGGTGGGTGTCCGGTGACGCTGTATGCCATGAAAGAGGCTTCTGAGTTCGCTAAGGAGTGGCTTCCTTTCTGCACAAAGTATCGGGTCAAGTCCAGGTGTCCCAAGGTCTTCTTCTCTCCCATGGGGGAGGATGAACACCTTCATCACGATGATGGATTCCGGACAGAGAAAGAGCAGCTCAAGGTAAACTTTAAACATTAAATAACATCAACTGTTTCTCTCAATAAACTTGTCTAAAACACAAGACAAATATAACAAAAGTTAACTAAATTTTTATCAAAGTTTATGTATAAATTAATTCTAATTTTAAAAAAAATTATATTTCATTTCTTTAATTTCTTAAAAATGCTTTCTTTTTTTTAAAAAAGTTTATCCATATACATATCTTTATCATAACACAAGTGACAAAATAATTTTTTTTATTTTAATATAAATTAAAAATGCTTAAAACATTTGATAAATGAATAGAGCCAGTCTAACTCTAGTCCCACAGCATGATAAATCAATGTTTAGATTTCTATCGAAGGGAGAGATATGCACATATAGTATTGATAATAATGTTTCTAAATGAAATCATCTTCAAAAGAAGATACATATATGTAAAAAAGAATTGTTTAAGTAATTCCTCCTTTGATTAATGTAATATACAAATTTGTCTCTCAGATTGATGATTTGAAATGTATTTTTTATATTATAATAAAAGGTGTTGGTAATGAATATATTGAAGAAGTTTTATTATGAGAAGCAAAGTTGATATACTTTTATATTCTAATGATATTATTTAATATTTAACTCAAGGAGTTAACATAATGATTAGATAAAGAGTGTGCATGTAATTTCTAAGTGAAGATTTGTGTAATGTATAAATTAAAGAGTGCTATGGTAATGTTTTTCAAATAATATTAAAGAGATTAATGTAAAGATAGAAAAATCTCACAAATACAGTACGTGTGATTTATTCCAATAAATTCTGAACAAATTTTTTTATTGTTTAGTAAGTTTTGAAATACACTTTAACTTTTTTCTATTTTTTTTATCAGTAAACTCATCTGAAATTTACTTTAAAGAACATTAATGTTTTATTATTCGACGCAAGTGTTTATACACTTTTATATTCTAATGATATCATTTAATAGTTAACTCAAGGAGTTAACATAATGATTATATAAAGGGTGTGCATGTAATTTAAAAGTGAAGGTTTGTGTAATGTATAAATTAAAGAGTACTAAGGTAATTTTTTTCAAATAATATTGAAGATATTAATGTAAAGATAGAAAAATCTCACAAATACAGTGTGATTTATGCTAATAAATTTTGAATTTTTTTTATTGTTTAGTAAGTTTTGAAATACACTTTAACTTTTTTATTTTATTAATTTTTTTAAATATTTTTTTATCAATAAACTCATCTAAAATTTACTTTAAAAAATATATTATGTTTTTATTATTCAACGAAAGTATTTTTCTTTTCTTCTCATTTTAGTGTAAGCTATGAAATGCAGTTAGGGATATGTAAAATATCTGAAGATTCATAATTGAATTGATCCACATTAAAAACTGATTCATAATTGAATCAATCTACATTAAAAAATCTAATCTATTTTGAGAAGAAAAAAATCTAAATCAATACACTTTGTAAAATCGATTTGATTTTCTAATCTATTTTTGTAAAAGTGGATTAATTTAATTTTCTTAAAAAATCATTTCATATATGAATATAAAATGAATAATTACACCCTAATGAACCGATCTAATTCTTTTTTAAAAAAATCAATTCATATTTTAAAAAAATTGAACTGATCCATTTTAAGAAAAACAGATCAATCAACCGACTAGTTTTTATAAAATAAATTGTTTCGGTATGAATTTTTCAAAAATTCAATCCATAAACACTTCTAAAATAATTTCCCTCTCACGTGATTTTTTTCTATCTTGCAGGAAAAATACAATAAAATGCAAAAGAATATTGAAAAATTTGGCAGCGACCCTAAAAATTGCTCTATTGTGTTTGACAGACCAAGTCGCATAGAGGTACTAGTTCCCTTTCCAAGTTGAAATTAAGAATGAAATGAAATGCCTTGTTTGTTCCATTCAACTTCCAAAATAAAATAAAACCAGACCAAACCGGAACTCAATTCATATTAAAATATAGTTTATCATGTTACATTATTACTTTTCTAGATTATAAATGACCAACCGGAAATGCCACTGGTTGTTTACGTGTCTCGTGAGAGAAGGCCAACTGTTTCACATAGATATAAAGGAGGAGCCCTCAACACATTGGTGAGTATTATCTGAATTCGATCTATAATGTCCCATTTTTATTTATAAAATTCTAATATATTTAAATACTCATCGTTACACTTAATTAATTATTAATTGCGGTTACATGCAGCTGAGAGTCTCGGGGCTATTCAGTAACGGCCCTTATGTACTTGTAGTTGATTGTGATATGTATTGCAATGATGCATCCTCAGCTAAACAAGCCATGTGCTTTTTCCTTGATCCTGAAACCTCCAAAGATGTTGCGTTTGTCCAATTCCCTCAAATGTTTCACAACCTTAGCAAGAAAGACATCTATGATAGTCAAACTAGGCATGCTTTTACGGTAATTAAATCACCAAACCATCCTTCTAATTTTTTATTTATTCTTTAGCTTCTGCTTGTTTGTTTTGTTTGATCAGTTATATATCATAATTTCTTTTAGACAATGTGGCAAGGAATGGATGGACTAAGAGGTCCTGGTCTTGCTGGTAGTGGCAATTATTTGCGTAGAAGTGCATTACTCTTTGAAAGCCCAAATCAAAATGGTAAATATGCCCTCATTGCGTTTCTTTTTATTCACAAACAAAAACACACATATATATATATATACACGCATGTTTCCTCTGTAGTTTATCTAAATTGATTTATCATTTTATTACCAATGAATTTTATTTATAATGATAGATAGCTATGAACGTAACGCCCAAAACAAATTTGGCAAGTCTACCATGTACATTGAATCATTAAAAGCCATCCATGGACAACAAACTGCCAAAAAGAACATTCCAAGAAACGTGATTTTACAAGAAGCTCGAGCAGTGGCCTCTTGTTCCTATGAAATAGACACAAATTGGGGTAGTGAGGTAAGTATAAATTATTGATATACCTATTTAGTGCATGTTTGGATAATTTTTTCTAAAATTACTTTTAAGAGAAAAAGATAAAAAAGGAGAATAAATTAAGTAACTTCTTTATGAGTTAAAATTAACTTATATATAAATTAGTTTTAGCTTTCATATAGTTTATCTAAACGTTACATTTGGTGATTTAAAATTTCAAAATTGATTGAAATTCACAGGTAGGGTTCTCATATGCTATACTAATAGAGAGTTCAGTTACTGGCTATCTTCTCCACTGCAGAGGATGGAGATCAACTTACCTTTACCCCAAAAGACCCTGTTTCTTGGGATGTGCCCCCACTGACTTAAAGGAGGGCATGCTTCAGTTGGTGAAATGGTCATCTGAATTTTGCTTGCTTGGTCTATCTAAATACAGCCCTTTCACTTATGGCATTTCAAGATTGCCTATTATGCATGCCTTTACCTTTTGCTACTTGACATCCACAACTCATTATGCTATTCCCTTAATAGTATATGGCATCATTCCTCAAGTATGCTTCTTCAAAGGAATTCCTGTTTTTCCAATGGTAAACTTCTCATACAACTCTTGCATTATTGTTATTTGCTACTGCTATTCATTTTTATTAATAAGATTCAATGGTTATTAATTGTCACATTTTCAAGATCATCATTAATATCACTTTTAAAATAGTTATTATAAACCAATAAATTTATCCTACATTATAGCTTGTTATTGGATGACAATGCATAACATTTTTCTCTTATTAATATCATTACTTTTCAATCATATTTCAATATGATCCTACAAGAATTTTCCTTTGTAGATTGTATAAATATTTATACAAGTAGAATTTTTATAGAATTATTTAACACTTTTATTTACTTATGTCACAGGTTACAGAACCATGGTTTATAGTATTTGCAATATTATATGTATCCTTTCAAAGCCAGCATTTGGTTGAGGTCCTTTATGACGGTTGCTCCTTGCCAATGTGGTGGGATGAACAAAGAATTTGGATTATAAGGTCACTAATTGTAAGCATATTTGCACCTATAGCAGCAATGAAGAAAATATTTGGGTTGAACAAGGCGAAATTCACTTTATCAAACAAAGCTATTGACAAAGAGAATTTAAAAAAATATGAGAAGGGTAAGTTCAATTTCGAAGGTGCAGCTGTGTTCATGACTCCGTTGGCTGTATTACTCATAGTGAACATTGTTTGCTTCTTTGGTGGTTTATGGAGACTGCACAATGTGAAAGATTTTGAAAAGATGTTTGGTCAACTTTTTTTACTTGGCTATCTGGTGGCTCTCAGTTACCCCATTTTTGAGGGGATAATAACTATGAAAAGCAAGGGTGGGTAGTTGCTTTTCAATGACTAGACTCATTTAGGTATTTGAAAATTTTTCACAAATAATATCTAAAGTGCAGCATGTATCTTAATATGTAACAGTTATACTCCATATATTGAAGTTACATGAATCCGTCTTTATTAATTCTATTACCGTGTGTTTCCATTTTTTATTTTATTTTTTTATATCAGCAGCGATCGCCTATTAATTAGTAATAATCATTGTTTGTTTTTATCTTTCTATTAATTCTATTAAATTAATATGGTTTACGAATCGTTACCCATAATTCTTATTCATGTCACATGAGAGAAGAATCTCACTCCTTCTCTTTCATCAAATGACACAAACTCTTTAACTAGCATAGACATATTCTGTTATCCGAAACTTTTGAGACATGTAATGCATTTTTCTAAAAGATTTATCCGTAGACTCTTATGTAAATCTCTTTGTATATAACATGTTATTCTTGGTACTAAGTCAAACATACATAATTGATAAGTAAATTCTTAATCCATAAAAGATAGAACATAGATAAAGAGAAAATAGCAGTGTTGTCCATAAATTTCTATGTAAATCTCTCGATATATAACATGTTCTTCAAAGTACTAACTTGATAATGCAGAATTGACAAGCTTTTAAGTTCATGATATTTATAGAAAGATATACCGACTCTTGTAACTATAGTTAATCACAAAAATTAAAAATAATTAATTTTAAAATATTATATAATTTCAATTAATTAAAAGTATAATGGTCAAGACTCATTAAAACTAGTATTAATTAGGATTAAAAGCCTATAATTAATAAAATAATAATTTAAAATTTAAATTTAAATTCAAAATAATTTGTCACAATTGGAATCACAATCAAAATGACTCAAAAATATTTTTAATGAAGCTGTTACCAATATTTAATTTTTTTAAAAAATAGAAAATCCTTCAAAAAAAAAAAATCTTTGAAATCAGAGTTAGACTACGAAGTTAATTATGTATAGAGAAAATATTAATACTCTACAATACTAATTAAAAAAATAATATTTTTAATTAATTACACAAAACTAAAAAAATATTAACACTTTACAATGTTAATTAAAAATAATATTTTTAATTAATTACGTAAAATTATATAACTTGTATTTTTTGGTATTAAGGAGGGCAAAAGCCCAAGTAGATGGCATAAGAATGTTATGGGTCAAAGAAAGCCCCATTACACTCTAAGCAACAGATACCACAGCTCGGGATTAGATAAAATATGGTATCCAGGTTTCTCTGAACATATGTACAAATTTGGTTTCCCAGTCCTTAGCCTGCCAACGTATAATGAAGCTAAGCATAGGCCAATATGGATACAACCGAGATTGACCCCATGATTAATAAAATGGATAACCAATTTAGAGTCACACTAAATAACGAGGGCTGATTGACCAATTTGGGGTACTTCTCCAAATTATTTACGTAAATGAGACTGTCTTTAAATAATATACACCTTTGGGGCATTTTTTAACGGTGTCGCTATGCCATAGCGACACCGGTGACACGTGAAATTTTTTAAGTTTAGGAAAGCCATGAAAGTTATATTTACAATGTCGCTACAGCCCATGACGACAAAAAACGCTTCAATGAAGTCGCTATAGCCTACAACGCCTATTTTTTGTTAGAGCAAAACCACTTACCCACAGAAAATGAGAGAGTATATCAATTACAACACAAGCACATATATCAATTAACAATACAAGAAATATAAAAATAACCACAAAGATAGTTTCCGATAGGGATACATACCTTATGCTTATATTTTATAAATAATGGATAATGAAAAATATAATAAAATATGTGATCCCAAAAATGGTCGAAGCAATTTTATATGCTAAAAGAGATGTAATAAAAATGACGTCATTGATAAATTTGCATTTCATGAAAATCATAATAATAAAAATGTAAATTTCAGACTCCCACTAATCCAAGACATCAAAAAAACTTAACCACACCCATATGAGTTACATGATTTTGAAAAATTCCAATAGCTAAGCCTTTAGTCATTAGATCTGCTAACATATTTTTTTGTAGCAATATGCTCAATCCGAGTCTGAAAATCCAAAACTTTCTCTCTAACAAATAGAAATTTTATATCAAAATGCTTTGAGCGAGTAGAACTTCTATTGTTTTGAGAGAAATGCACAGCAGCAGTATTGTCACAATATATCACAAGTGGCCTAGAAATACTTTCAACAATATGAAAGCTAGAAATCAAATTTTTAAGCCACACAACTTGACAAGTAGCCTCATAACAAGCGACATACTCTGCCTCCATGGTAGAAGTAGCTGTAAGAGTTTGTTTAACACTTTTCCAAGAAATAGCTCCTCCTACCATCATAAAAACAAAGCCAGAAGTAGATTTTTAATCGTCAGGGCAACCAACAAAATCAGAATCAGAATAACCGATAACCTGAAGTTGATCATACTTCTTATAGGTCAACATATGATCCTTAGTTCCCTGCAAATATCTAAAGACCTTTTTAACGGCTTTCCAATGACCCAAACCCAGGTCACTCAAGTATCTCCCTAAAGCATTAATAGTAAAAGCAATACCAGGACAAGTACAAACTCGAGCATACATCAAACTACCAACAGCGGAAGCATATGCGACCTTTTCCATTTCAACTCTATCATTATCATTTTGAGGACATTGAGATTTAGAGAGTTTGTCACCTTTTTGAACAGGTGCAGCACATGGGGAGCAAGAATGCATGTTGGACCATTTGAGGATTTTATCAATATACCCTCTTTGAGACAACCCAAGAATGCCACATAACCTATCACGAAAAATCTGAAAGCCTAGAACAACAGAGGCTTCACCAAGGTCCTTCATATCAAAATGGGTATTTAACATAAATTTTGTCTCAGTCAAAAGTTCAACACTGCTACTAGCAAGAAGAATATCATCAACATATAAGACAAGAATGATGAAATGGCTCCCACTAGTCTTCAAGTAAATGCACTGATTTGAGGCATTTTCCTTGAAGCCAAAAGTAGTGAACACCTTATCAAATTTCAAATATCATATTTGTCTTCTCAATAAGAGACAAATATTGACCTTTTTGAGCTTTGTCAAAAGTCTTAAATTTCTCACCAATTGACTTGAAAAAAATCCTTAGCCTTATCATTTTTTTTGGAATGCTTTGTTGAATAGACTTCTCCATGGTGTATTTCATCACCATCAGACACACCCTATTTGAGTGTTCCCATTTCTCATGAGAAGTTCTTTAGACAATAGTGGACTTAAGAGTAAGAGTTGGAGGCTCTTTCTCTCTTAAGAAACAGTTCATATTAGTAATTGTCATATATAAGTCCAGAGATTCATTATGGTCCTCAAAATTTGTCCCATTCAATATATATTTTGACTGAAGTCAATTGCATAGGAAAAAAATGACGGTATCCAAACAACAAAGAAACATTTAATATGCACAATTGTTATGGAATAAAAAATTAAATGTTTCTAAATACACAACCAAACATACCTATAATATAAAATTTCTCATTCATTATGATCCCGCCTAAGGGTCCCGAACCATAATAAATAAGAAATACAAAATGTAATGCACAACTTATGTAAAAAAAATCTAATATCGATAGAGTACTTGACAAATAATTGACATAAGATAAAATTAAGAAAAAAAATTGTATCATAATACCAAAATACATTAACAACAAAATACCGATAAGGCATAATTATCATTAATGTAATATAAAATTAATTAGAGAAATAATTAAATAATGTTATATTTATATATTTATTTATATAATTATTCTCTATTTTATTATTATTATGGATTAACATTAATTAATAAATTATATTTATATGTTAATATTAATTATATGGCACATTATTATTAATCTATGGATAATACATATTGGGCTTCCGATGAATGGTCTATGATGGGTTGGAATATTAATCTACTGGTAAGGATATAGAACTAGTATCCCATTAGTCAGTTCTCATAGCGAAAAACATTTCTGTCTTCTGCCTTTTCACCTCTTACTAAGAAGAGAGCAGTCTTCTCTCACATTCTTCAAGATCAATAAAAATGGATCCCTAATTGATTCTGGATACGCAAGTCTTTCTAAACCTTGCTCGAACATACTATAATATTATATCTTATATTATTCATTATTTGAGTAATCACTATGAATTTCTTTTCAGTCTCTTGATCCAGTGGTTGTAAGATTTATTCTGAGATATTGGGGGATTGACCGGATAATCTCAAATTCAATTTCTATCGTATTAAAATAATATTTGATCAACAAAACTCATATCTCACAAACATAAATTAATCCTTGATTATTAACTTTAAAATATAGCATAAACCACGTGGATGAAAAAAATGGCAATCAAATTAATAAAAACTAAAACGAAACGGGTAACTAAGATTATAATATCAAAATTACGATAAGTAGTTCTATCTAAAATATTTATTTAACATTTTAAGAATTTACTTACTGTTTTCAGAACCAAAATGACGGAATAAATTAAGATGGTTGAATCTAGAAGGTGGCAAATATAGGGAGGGAAATAATTAAGAACTATTCTTAACGGTACGGAGTTGATATAATTTTGAGTAAATAATAGTAACCTTTAATTTGATAGGTATATATGTATAGAGAATTTATATGGGAAATTGGGTGCATAAGTGTCATTGTGTGTTTGGTGGAAGATGAATGAGAGTTTAGTGGTGGCGTAATGATATTACGTGTAGAAATGAACCGACCAAGTACGTTCCTTGTGAATAAAATTGTCAAGGTTTGCTGAAGCAGGAGTTAATGATCTGAAAACGAAATTGGTGGCAATCGCTATCTATCTTTTGTTTGTGACTTTGGATGCCAGAGAGTCATTGGTTTTGGTTAAAACTTAAAAGAATCCTCCCATTCCCACTCTTGCACGTCCTTGTCACTCACGCACGCAATCAAGACCCACTCTCGACGGGTCTTAGGTCTTTGTACTTTGCAGGAAACGGTATATAACCACATGCTCTTCCCATTCTCTAAAATTTTCCATCTCTGCCTCTCATTCAACGTGCACCATATTAATGAGACACAAATCAAGGACCCTTGTCCATTCAAGAGCTACCTAGCTACATTTTCATCACAAAACC